CGCTCTGGGTAGTCCCACGACTGCCCTCGGCAGCTCGTGCCCTTCCATCTAAGCGCGAGCTCTCTACTCGCTTGACGGGGTCCGAGAACATTGGCTCGGACGGGCTACCTGACGACGAGCTCTGGGTAGCCCCACGACTGCCCTCGGCAGCTCGTGCCTTTCCATCTCAGCCCGACGACGGGTCTCGGGCGGTGCCTAGCATCAACGTCGCGCCTAGTGATCGGCCTAGGCATGGCTTCAGCGGTGTTGCCATTGTGATCTTGATGATCGGCTCAAGAGTCACGCGATGTAGGGGACAAGGGACTTGCTCCCCCCCCCCCCTTTTCTTTTCTTTGTTCTTTGTTTCCTTTATCTTTCCTTTATGCTGAGGAATTTACGACTCCTCAGTATCTTATCATTGTTTGATTTTGTATGAAGCAGACGCATCAGAGTCTGAAAACTTTATATTATAACACTTACAATACTCATCACTATAATCATCACTTACGAATAAAAACCTTATTATATTCTTTTAATTACAACTACTTTTATTTAGCCTTCCCAGCGCAACCTCGCCCCCCTAGTTCCCCTTCGTTCGTTCTTCACCGAACAGACCTCGTCCATTGATTCTCTTGCCCGACAGGTGGTTCCCTAGGCCCTGATTCATCCCCGAACTTGCTGAACGATGGTCGATTACTACAAAGTGCTCGAAGTACAGCGGACCGTTAGCAGCGCTGACATCAAAAAGGCGTAAGTTCGACTGGCCTGAGCCTGCATATTCCCATCCCCCGTTTCGCTGCGAACGATCTCTGACACACGAGTTTCGAGATCTTGCGAAACTATCAACCCAGTCGCGCTTCTAACGAACCGCGCTAACGCAATATCCGGCATATTTTCGTTCCGCAGGTATAGAAAGTTGGCGTTGAAATGGCACCCGGACAAGAATCCAAATAACTTTCAAGAGGCGAATGAAAGATTCAAGGAGATTTCGGAGGCATACGAAGTCCTGAGCGACGGTAGGTTTACGCCGTAGGCACGTTGCCGAGACAATGATAATAATCCCGTACGAGGAAACTGCGGTAAGAGGTGACGTTTCAGTTGCCGCAAACGGCGATTTCATAGCCTGCGAGACGCGCCGTCGATATCAGATTCGACATCTTAATTTGACATGGAATAGACTGCAATATTGAAAATTAAACGGGGGGGAAAGTCCCTATTTTATGGGATAGCGGGTTTCTGTTCAGTCAATAGGCATCATCAGTTGATTCCACAATGAATATTGCATTTATGTTACAATTTCTTACTCAACAATATAAATACAATATAATATAACACACGTGTTATATTACCTTTACATTGTTAAGTGAGAAATTGTAACATAAATGCAATGTAACTGATGCTCGGTGCTCACTGGGAAGAGATTAAAGTAAATCGTAAATCACTTCTATCGCAATAGTATATTTTTAGAAAATCTGAACAGGTAAATAACGGCCGATATGCATTTAACGCGTATTCGACAAATAAATATATTTTTGATCGTATGCCTGACATTAATTTATAGACGTTCCATTTACACTTGAAACCACGCACTGGTAATTTTGGTCGATTTTACAATGCGGTTTCCTCAAAAGCCAAGGGTAGAATGTAAAGGCCAGCAATATCTTGTTAGTATATCAATTTAAATTATGCGAGGTCGATTAATTTATTCAATCTCGTGTAAATCGATCAAATGTTCTTGGACGACGCGCGGCTCCGTGCGACAGTTAAAAATACAAAAATACATAGGAAAGATATACGTAGGAAACACAGTTAAAAATATTTATTAAATCACGTCGCCGAAAGTACCGGAATCCAGTCTCAGATTTGTAGGACTAAGGCCCGGTTTCACCAACGTTGCTTAACTTTAAGCTTAGTTTAATTCGTTCTTTCCAACTGTTACTTTAGAAAGAGACAAACGTGAATTAAGCTATGATTAAAGTTAAGTTTGGCCTAATTCGTTCTTCGTCTTTTTCCAACTGTTATT